TGTGCAACAGACTCTTGCTGGCTGGGTAACTCAGGCAATTAGGTATCTGGGGGAGAGTTTGATTTCCCACCGAGAGAAGAGCCAGCCTGGGTGGCCATGGGCAAACTGCACAGCCCCAGGAAGCCCCAAGAAGAAGGGAATGATAAACCACTTCAGAGTTCTCTCTGCCTAGAAAACCCTGGGGAGGGTTGCTATAAATCAGAATTGAGTTGATGGCACATAGTTACTATTACTATAACAGAATATTGGCATGGTTCCTTTGGGATTGCGGGTGAGAATGAGGCAGCTTGAGACGTGTGTTTTTCAACTCTGTTTTTTGAAGGAAGGACGTCAAGTGCCACTAATAGAGTTTTGCAGTTTTGTGAAACGAACCTGCCTTTTCTCTCTTCCAGGCTGCGATAGTGACCACTGGGGACCGCACTGCAGCAACCGTTGCCAGTGCCAAAACGACGCTCTTTGTAACCCCATCACCGGCGCCTGTGTGTGTGCCGTTGGGTACAAAGGATGGCGCTGCGAGGACTTGTGCGACCCAGGAAGCTACGGGAAAGGCTGCCAGCTGAAGTGTCAGTGTCACAACGGGGCAACCTGCAACCCTAAGACCGGGGAATGTCACTGTGCTCCGGGTTACACCGGCGTTTTGTAAGTTGCCTGATGGATAGAAACTGAATACCTGCTCAGTAGGGGGGAAGCCGCATTTTCTTATTACTCCAGTTTGAAATGCACCAGGGGGGTTGTGCTCTTTTCTAGTGCAGACATACACAATATGTGGCCCACCAAACAAACAAAGCCAAACAGCCTTGGATGGTAACCTATCATAAATGGTAAACCAACCTCCCTCCCTTCCTTCCTTCCTTCCAGCAGTTGCATCTGATCCTTCTGTCTAATAGTGACCTCCTCCAACAAACTATCTGAAAGTTAATTAGCATTCCATAGATATGGGTGAATATTCTGTTGGTGTTTGCATAAAGTTTGCCTAACTTGCCATGGCTAATTACAGCGAATGAATAAAGTACCAGGTGCATTTCAGCTGTGCAGTTGGGATCATGACCAGGCATCCGAGATGCACCACCAACTCCCTGTTAGTTAGCTGCAGTTAGCCGCAAATTACCCAAGGCGTTCTGAATCTTGCTGCAAGCTGGCTTCCTTGAGAATGCACAGTGACTGATCAGCCCATATCCCTCTTGGTGTTAATACGGATAGTTACTACTGAGCTCAAAACAGGATAGGTTAGAATCTCACGTCTCTGCAGGAATCCAGTGGACTAAACATTCAACGTGCCTTTTGGGCTACGTGAACAGGCCTCTGGCTTGTCCGTGTTCTGTATGTTTTCTATGTGGTAGGACTGCAATTCCCAGCGTTCCTCACCCTTGGTTATGCTGGCAAGAGCTCAAAAGTCCAATAGCACATGGAGAGCTGTAAATTGTCCAGATGTGTTCTGTGCCACGTATTTTCAGCACCCCCCAGTTTTTATTCCATTCTTCCAGCCTCTCCACCTCTGCCCCCATAGAAGTTATAATAGAATAGTGAAGATGAAAGGGGCCTATAAGGCCATCTAGTCCAACCCCCTGCTCAATGCAGGAATACAGATCAAAGGATATCTGCCAGGTGGTTGTCTAAATTTCTCTTGAATGCCTCCAGTGTTGGAGCGCTCACCACCTCTTGAGGTCATTGGTTCCACTGTCTTACTACTCTAACAGTTAGGAGGTTTTTCCTGATATTCAAATGAAATCTTGCTTCCTGTAATGTGAGCTTCTTGTTGTGTCTCCTGCACTCTGGGATGATCGAGAACAGATCCTGCCCCTCCTCTGTATGACAGCCTGTCAAGTATTTGAAGTTTCTCTGTATGACAGCCTGTCAAATATTTGAAGTTTTATCATATTACTCCACTCTTCTTTTCTCAAGGCTAAGCAAGCCCAGTTCTTTCAGTCTTTCCTCCTAGGGCTTGGTTTCCAGCCCTCCTGATCATCCTTATAAACTGGTTCCAAAGTTATAAGGTTACAGGAAGAATCTTCTTGTAACCTTATAACCCAATACTAAGTGCCTGGGTGACAACTGTAAAGCACTGAGTGACCCCGTGGCAAAATTTGATTTTTAAAATTATTTAAAATTATTTTTAGATTGTTGTTTTATCACTTTTGTCATCATCAACATTATTTCTTCCCCCACAAATATTTTTAGCTCCCATGATCTCTAGAGGCAAATTGCCTTTGTGAATAAGGATCTGTCAACATGAGCAGAGGGTTTGGAACAAAAGCAATGCTCGTTAGAGCCATAAATATTGGATAACTACATTTTATCACTGGCATTGTTGATTGGAATTTAGCTTCACGTCTGATGATTTGTGTCCACGCTGCTGTAAGGGTTGCCCTCGTGTCATTTTCTTGTGCAAATTGCTTCTGCGTCTGTGTTTCATCTCGGTTTCTGACTGTATCTCTTTCTCTTTGCAACAACACCTGGAAAGCTGTGAGGAACAGTGTCCTCCGGGCAGTCACGGAGCCCAGTGTGAACAGCGATGCCCCTGCCAAAATGGGGGGACCTGCCACCACATCACTGGAGAGTGTACCTGCCCCCCAGGATGGATGGTACGTATAGATTTCTTCAGCTGCAGCCGTGCGCCCCGGAACACATCCTTCAGTGCGCATCAGTTTGGCCTCATTGAGATTTTTGCATAGCGGAGCACCAAGCGCCACTGGCAGGACAATGTTACATTTGCTGTGGTGTCTGTTAAAATCTGAGCTTTTAAGTGCCACCACAGGGAATCTTGGTTGGGTCTCAGCTTGTGCGCTCCGACACGGAGACTCAAGTGACCTGGTTGGTATTTCTCATGAACCAGGCCTGTGCCAGCCGACAGCATGCCCTGTAATTCTCCATAATGTCTCTGTAAGACAGTTAGATGCCTGCATTACAGAGATACAATTGTCAGTTAGACACAGGAAGTTTCTATCACCTGCATGACTCCTTGTAGCGTCGGTCTTAGAATCGGGCATCAGGACAGCCTGCAGCGAAGGATCAAAGAGATCGGAGGCAGAAGCCATGCTCTTGGGGAGACTGAAGTCCAGTCACAGCATCATGCAGACAGGGGCTAGAGACGGTCAGGTGGTCCCGGCAAAATTTGCTGTGGGGATCCCTCACACCACAGTTTTGCACTGAGGTCCCTCTTGTGCTTGAACCAGGGCCATCTGTGGCATAGTTAAAAGACTGGCCAGCAGTGAGGAACTGGGTTGAACAGACGGGAATCAAAGAGGCAAAACCAAAGAGTGGGAAGGGCAAGGGTGCTCATATTAAATAATGCAACAAGCCACTGGTCACTTCATACATAGTTTGCTTCATCCATGATCTATTTTTTCATGTATAAGACTATACTTTTGTCTCAAATATACTTTGTGTCTTAGACTAAAAATTGAGGGTCGTATTATACACAGATGTAAGCTGATGAGAGAGAGAAACAAGTGGAGGGGAAAGCAGGGATCAAAGTGATCCTGCAGGGCTTTGATCCCTGCATTCCCCTCCGCTTGCTAAGCCTTAGCAAAAGGAAAGCAGGGATCAAAGCCACTGCAGGATGGCTTTGATCCTTGCTTTCCCCTCTGCTATGGGGAAAAGTCCTATGGGGCTTAGCAAGTGTAGGGGGAAAGGATCAAAGCAATCCCATGGCTGTATAAGGGGGGAAGGGATCAAAACAATCATGCAGTTGCGGGATTGCTTTGATCCCTTTCCCCCTCCTTTTGCTAAGCCCCGCAGGGCTTAGCACAAAGGAAGAAAGCAGGGATTAAAGCCATCCTGCAGTGCGTTGATGCCTTTATTTATTTATTTATTGGACATATATACCGCCCCATAGCGCTACAAGCACTCTCCGGGCGGTTTACAATTTTTAATTATACAGGCTACACATTGCCCCCCCCCAGCAAGCTGGGTACTCATTTTACCGACCTCGGAAGGATGGAAGGCTGAGTCAACCTTGAGCCGGCTACCTGGGATTTGAACCCCAGGTCGTGAGCACAGTTTTAGCTGCAGTACAGCGTTTTAACCACTCTGCTTTCTAAGCCCCACTTAGATTTCTTAATTTTGGGTTAGAAAAGTGGGGCGTCTTATACATGGGACCATCTTATACACTGAAAAATACAGTAGTTGGTAGATGGACGCTGTGACCTAGAGGAGGTTAGACTGGCCTTTCCTGAGTCCAAGGCCAGTCCTGCCAGCACAGAGTAAAGCATGTGTGGCTGGAGGGTCAGACTGCACCTTATACTGTATGTCATTAGAAGAAGAACATCCTCAAGTCCTGAAAGCATGTGATTGTTACAGCAAGACCTTTGATCTCTTGTAGAGTTTCAAAATTAGCTTGCTTTGTCATTGGCATTTGCAATGTAAAGAAGACAGGCTTCATTTGTAAGTCTGATTTCTCGTGCACAAAGGTCTGTTGGAATCATGTCTCTTGCACACTAATGTGACTGCAGCTCTAATAAGAGGTTCTCAGGTGTCTAACAATTATTGGGTCAAACTGAACATGGGCTCCTGTTAACCACTGTGTGCCTCACTCATTATACCTGACTGGACTTATGGTATGTAGGAGAAAGATGAACTAATTTTGTTAGTGCTTCTGTGGGAGTCTTAAGGGAAAACCAGTGTAGATATGAACAGAAGAACTTTTATCATATGTGGAACTTTGACCAGAAAGATCTGGGTTCAAATGCACCCTGGATGGTGAGGCTCCTGAGCAGTCCAGAACCCGCCACTCTTTTTTAGCCTAACTCTTGAAAAGTGGGGAGGATGTAACACAGGAAGGAAACATAAACTTTTGGAGGAACTTTTTGGAAGAGAAAGGGTAGAATTCAGACATGATAAGATAAAAATAGCAGATGTCCCAAGGCACAGAAAGGAGTGGAAGGGGTAAGAATGGCTGGATAGCTCAGTGGTTTAGGTCTCTGGCTGGGGAGCCGGAGTCTGGAAGTTCAATTCCCTGCTGTGCCTCCTTGACAGGGGTTGGACTTGATGGTCTATAGGGACCCTTCTAACAGTGCAGTTCTAAGATGATGATGATGATGATGATGACGACTACTATTAAAATACTGTAATTGAAATACCCTGAGGACTATTTGAACTGTGTAAGAGGAGTGGTTGATAAAAGTCAATGCAATATTCCTCCCCTGCCCTCCAACATAATCTCACTGATTCCTGGCAGGATTTCACTGGCGTTCAGAAGGTTGGCTGAGATGGACTCAGAGGCGACATATTATTCCTCAACTTCCATTCGGTGTGTCAAGGAAGAAAGGCTGAGCTCTTGAAAAAAATCTAAATCTGTATCAATAATGTGATAATTAACTCCCTCTGGATTTGCCAAAGCTTCATTCAGCTGAGCTGCATTCTCTGGCATTGTTCCACCTTTTGACAATTAGCCTCTTGGCACGTTCTGCTGATGGAATAGGGCAGAGAGAGAGAGAAAGAGAGAGAGAGAGAGAGCAGGAAAGTGTGAGTGTCCTGGCCTAAATATTCTTCCTTCCTTCCTTCCTTCCTTCCTTCCTTTCTCTCTCTCTCTCTCTCTCTCTCTCTCTCTGTCTCTCTGTCTCTCCCCCGCCTCTGTCCCTCCCTTTCTTTCTTTTTGTGTTAAAACTTTAGAAGGCCATAGAGATAATTAGAAGCTGTGGATTGTGGAAATAAAAGGATGATATTTCCCTTGAGTGCATGCTGAATTCAGTATGGGAGATGTTATTATGCTTTGGAATAGGCAAAGATGGTTCATTCTTCTCCCCATGAAATTCCTGGATGTTTACTCCTAGTGCTATGTTTGGAGGGTAGAACGTGTAGCTTTACGCCTTTGCAGATCATGCTGCTGGCTTTCAGAGCTTGACTTGAAGTTTCAGAATGTCAACCTCCTCCTTATCGAAGCTCCACACAAAAGATCATTTTGGTAGCAGTTGAGTTTTGCTCAGGCTTCCTAAGAATGCATCAAAGCCCAAGGGGCAACAACATTCATGGCAAATTCACATATGGATGGCGCTACTTTCCTTGCACTGTGGCTGTTCATCTCACTTTTTCATCTGTCATGCATCATCTGCCCCTTTCACGCTCTAAACTGTGCCTCCTATTGAGTGGAACCAGATCCTACCTTACCATCCTTCATCCTATCACCCACCAGGGACTAGCTTTGAGCTGTAGGATCTGGTTATTAGAAGGTTTTTATTTTTGTATATCTAATGGTTCTTCCAGACAGGACAATCATATCCATATATTTTTTTACCCTTTTCCTTTTAAAAACAACTGATCTATGAAAGACAAAGTAAGGGGGCTGGAAAAGATCTCGATTACCAGGAAGCAGCTTCGAGGGCAGTCTGGCTGGTGGAAATCCCACTCTCTCTCTCCTGTGCTTAAGACAGCCACTCCCATTGTGTTTCTCTAGAGGAGGATGAAATAACAAGGCTTTGCATAGGCCTTCCTGGGCAGGAATGTCCAGAGGCAGGACGCATAGCCAAATATGCCATCTCTCCAGTGACCACCTGCCTCACCTCCCTTGGAGGCCGGATATCCAGAAGAGAATCTTAGATGATAAATTTAAAATCTGGGAAGGCTGATGTGGGAGGAAACATCCTCTTAGGTGCTCAGAGATCAAGTTGAGCACTTTGGATTAAGCTCAGAAGTGTTCCACAAGCCATGGATGGTCTCAAACCCTACATGTTATGTGTCATCAAGTCACTTCTGATTTATGCCATCTTTGCAGGGCTTGCAAGGCGGCCGATGAGGTGCTTTAAAAGTGACTTACCATCGTCACCCGCTAGTGAGTTTCTGTGAGCAATTGGGAATTTGAACTCGGGTCACCTGAGCCCTAGTCTGCCACTTTCTCCATCACAACATACTGGCCTCAAGCAGTTCCTCATCACTGAAATCTCCTGGTACTGGTTTCCGGAAGCTGAATTTTGAATTGACTTGTGTGACAGTCATCAAAAACGACAACCGCACTGTTTATATCAGTTTCAGATTTCAATGGTTTCTGATGCAGATTTTTGTAGTTCTAAGAACATGAACCAGACAAACTGTCGCCCCCTCTGTAGTGATGAAGGCAAGACGGCTCTGGCATCAGGATGTCATGTGTTATGTGCCATCAAGTTATGGCAACCCTCGTAGAGCGTCCAAGATAATGCGAGCTATTTGAGGAGTGGTTATACTAGTGCTATCTCCATGGCTAAGCAGGGCTTTGAGTCCAGGTCTCCTACGTTTTAGGAGCAGTGATTCCCAAACTTGGGTTCCCAGATGTTCTTGGACTAAAATTCCCAGAAGCCTTCACCACTAGCTGTGCAGGCCAGGATTTCTGGGAGTTGTAGGCAAAGAACCTCTCGGGACCTAAGGTTTGGGACTCTTGTCCTAGAACATTACACCATCCACTGCGCCACATTGCACTGGATCTCTCCCCAGTTCAATAGGCACAGCTGTTTCCACAGCGGAGAGGACCGTGTTTATATCTGCCTGCCAAAAAAATCAAGAAATAGGAGAGTGTCATTGAAAAAACAGTTCAATAGGCACAGCTGTTTCCACAGCAGAGAGGACCGTGTTTCTATCTGCCTGCCAAAAAAATCGAGAAATAGGAGAGTGTCAT